GATTCAATTTCCTGGACATGGAAATCAAACTGTTTAATCGATCCTCGGATTATTCGATCGAAATTGTTAAAAACAACTTGGCGACGAATTTTATTCACCCCCGTTTCGGTACACGTACGGCTATCCATATTAAAGAATAATATATGAAACATTAATGGAAAAAGCTTTTAAAAAAAAAAATTACCTTCGGTCGTTATATTGGTTCGGTGAAATAAACGCGAACGTTATCAGTCCTCTCCGCCAGTCGCATTAACGTTTCAAAAAGCGCACGCTTTTAGATCTGGCCGCTTTCGGGATTAAAAATAACCACGTCCTTTGTAAAAAAAATGACGCGACATGGCGGACACGCTGCGCTGTTATAAATGAATTTAATAACCGCGCAGTGACACAGGAATTTCTGTGAGAATCAAGTTATTCTCGATAACCTTTTCGACAGGAAAGTTGAACCTCGTTCGAGAGAAAACTTTCAGATACAAGGAAGCTTTTTAACGTCAACTAGTCGCGAATTGTCTTCGAATTTCAATAGAAGAAAACAGCGTATCTTCCCTGGGTGGCTGCCGTTCTATGGCCTCAAATTTTATGAGGAAACGATTTATTCCACCTATCAGCAATTGCGTGTGAAGAAAGCGTACGGAAACCAATGTTCTGCGAAACTGTGCTGATTTCAACCAATTTCTCAACACAGAAATATTTTACTCGTGACAGCAGGTACTTGTGTCGACACTTTTGACACTTTAGTCCGTCATTTTGTGACTTTACGACTTTGTAATTTTGTCACTTTAGGACTTTGAAATTTTGTGACTCTGACCATTCACAGATCTGGTACTTTAGGAATTTGGAAGTTTGAGAAACTTCAGGTAGATAAATAATCTTTTTGTCGGGGATTGTATTTGGAAACCACGATAATGTGCATCTCGATTCTTTCGTTGGCCAAAATTACTCCGCTCGCGGCATCGACAAGCAGAATTTATTATCGCACACATTACAAGGCAGCAGAGATTTCTTATTAAAGTCCCGTTTAATTAAAAGTTTCTCACCGCGGTTCGCTTGAATTCGCAAAAGCGCAATTCGCGCGTTCATCCTTGCGGTTGTCGGTGAGTTTTAATAAAATTCCTTTCCTTTCGCCACGTTGCTTAATGTTACTTGCGGTGGACTAATTTCGCTTTGGATATACACAAAAATAAGGAGCGTTTGACAATTTGTTTCGAGTAGCAACAGAACGTTTCGGACTGTCTGAAAATGTTTGGTGTCTCAAAATGCGTGCAAGAATTATTAGCAGGAAAATGTTTGTTTCGTACTTCCACGAAGAGCATAATCGGGTAACATAAATTGTATCAACAATGCAGCAGCGTACTCCGAGTACAGTGGTACTTTTCGTGTAACACTCATCGATTGCCAGATGTACCACGAATTCCCATCGGCATCGCAAAGGCACGCTACAATTCAATTATATTAACCTACACGCCCCTGCGTAGCATACCGGCTTAATGCTTTCTCGCTGGGAATAATTAAATTAACGAAGTAATAAGAGCAGTACGCGACCAGCGTTACCAAGCATCGCTATGCCTTGTTAATGAAACGAAATTCAAAAATCTTTCTATCAAATTCCGTACACGATCGATAACGCAATTTACGTCGAATATGCTTAGCATTCAATAGCTGAACTGTTCTTTAAACACGAAAAAGGAGTTCCTGGAATCTACGAACAACCATAATATTCAATAAATTACCAAAGTGGTAGAAGCAGCGTAAATGCTAATAATTGGAGGCAGCTCGTTAAGTGCACTCTTCATACTTGGTAGATTTGTTAACGATATTCCGTGTAATAAATGGGGTTCTCAATTTGCGTATCGGAATTCTAATTTATTTCGTGGCAGAAGTTTCCCCTTGATTGTACGAATTAGCAAGAAAATACTTTTTATATCGCTTGTTTGCCACGGAAAAAATAACCCGACTACTGAATGCAATTTCAACCGGCATTCATTCGGTAGCTCCCTAATTAACGTTCTGTAAGTTTGGGCGAATTTATAAGAATTAGAAACGACTTTACAATGTATGCAAATTACTATCGGGGGAAATACCGTGGAAGTTCGGCTTAAAGTCTTAATAAACCGTCTGCTGTATAATGATTCGTCGAGGACTAATGTAATAAAAGGACTTATCCCGGATGAATCCGTGGCTATTAGCCGGCTGGAAAAATCGCTGATATACTTCCGGCGTTGAACCCGGCGTCAAAAATTAAGACTTCTTTTGATTCTCCTCATGTTTATCGCCGCTGTCGTTCCAAGCGTCGCGTCATTTTTCTCTCGGACTCGAGACAGGCTAATCAGATCTCCGTTCCGCCCCAAATCTATTTTGCTCCAGGTAATCCAACCCTGTTTTTCCTACGTTTCGGAAATACGCGCGAAACACGAGTTCGTTTAACGATCAAAGTTACGAGATAATTAAGACGAAATGGAAGATATTGGCCAGCTCGATCATCTGGAATATATCCCGTTAACGTCTGCCCATCGATACCAGGCAAATGCAACTAGTTTCAATCTTGGACAAAGCTCGGTTTCACGTCAATCGATTCCGTAATCTGCGAGCAACCATGGTACAGTTTCGCAAGTGTTTCCACAGGAAGACGCTCGAGTTTCCTTGCCGAAACTTCGATGATAGCATCGGTCCGACCTCTGCAAACGAGCCTAAAACGATGAACGGTTATGTGTAGTATCTCAAAGTCAAAGCCCAACTTCTCGGAAACATGCCTTGAAACATAATCATGCTCGCAGCTGTCTTGCACCCGTTTGCACATTGAATGCCTCTTCGTGAAACATCAACTGGCTAAACGCTTGATTATGATCTTAACAATCGCGGAGAGTGAAAATGACCGACTTGGATGAACTTGGGAAGTTTAGGTATTAGATCATTCCACAACCCTTTGAATCTTGCAAGACTTGTTATAGAATTTGAGATCTACAGAGTTGAGAAAATTGAAGGATTCAAGAATTTGATGTGAAAATTTTTTAATTTAAAATTGTTTTGAAAACATCTTTTCATGCATCTGGTAAATTTACTCTAAAATATCGCTCCATCTCTTTCGCGTGACAATTCAAGGAATGATATAACGTTCGAATGACCCTGTATGCACTTGACGTGAAGTGAGCAGCAAAAAGAGCGTATCCTTTAGTTCCTTCCCAATCCACTAGAGTGAAAAGTGAGGTTAGCGACCTGTAGGTCAGCTCTGATAAAACATGAAAATAATTTCCGATTCCTTTTCCCCCATTATAATTTGTCAGGGAAACGTGGTTCCTAATTTGGGTCTTAACCCGGTTAGATTGAATCGAAGCAATATGCGCTCACGACATAAAACTATCGGTTATGTCTCTAGCGAATACTTGTTGAAAATGCTCTGTGTTCAGTATCCACGGTGAATTAATATTACGTCTCTTTGTTTCCGGTTGAATAAGCGAACCTATTCATTGCTGCTCTATAACGTACAATCGGTCCGAACTGGGACGCTGAACACCTTATTTAGTACCGGCGGAATTAACCTAATCCGACTTCCGGTTGGTCCGCGGTCGCGTTATGATCCTGATGTTAATTTACCATTTTGTTCCGACACTCGATTCCTGGCAAACTTCTCCCCGTGGTTTTCCAATTAAAATTCTCTGTAATTACGGAGACAGACGTCGTCGGCCATTATTCACGTCTTTATCCCTTTGTCGCATAATGCTCTTGAATCGGCGAGAAATTTCAATCCGATGTACAACGGATTTAATCGTGGACATACGGAATTATTGTTTTTACAGAATGCATTATACTGAAAATTGATTAATGCGATTAATTGATACGCTTGAATGTTTTCACTCCCGTTGTAAAAGTAAATTCAACACCCAGAGGGGATAGGCGCGATTCATAAATGATATTATTTTTAAACCTCTGATTCTCTTTATCCTTTCAGAAAATTTGTAAATACGCTGCTGTAGCGCGTAATATTATAGTACGCTACGTGTTTGATATTCACGAAGCGGAAGATAGAATATCTGCGTTATCTGTTTTCACGTTGTAATTTTTCTTCCTTTTTACACTCTGAAATCGAAAATTTACTCTGTTGGTAATTCGCGTAATTATCAGCTTCTAAAATAAACGGATCGTAAAAATTTAGCACGGGAAAATAACTCGACGTGTTTATTCAAACTTGGAATTAAATTCCAATAACTATTTCTTCGGTATTAAACACCTAGTTTCTTACAAGTACAAAATTCTTGTTATTTATTAAAAATAAATGCAAGTATTGATCTCAAAACGATCGAGTACAATTTAAATCGTCCCCCAATACCGGGAGTGTTTGCACAAAGATTCGACCCATTAATTAAGCGACACTTTGCCCGATATCGCAACGAAACCAGGCTAAACGAGATGCCTATCTGTAAAGGCGAACGCGCACAAAGGCGTCCAGAATTTCTGACGCTTGCGTTTGAATAGGAGCGAATCCTGTGTAGGTCAGGGCAGAGGAGCATTGAAGAACCGCTTGAGGGCAACGAGAGCAACACGCGATGCACTCGAAGAAGCAACTTTCGAATCTCTCCAGCGACATCCTTGCTGCGAGACGGCTACTTGAATATAAGGTCCATAATTAAGGTTAGCAGATAACGAAGTTATCATCAAGGAGCGGCGTCGCATGAGTGTGCCTTAACGCCAGCCGCTTTTATCGTTCCTACCCGAGGCGATGCGATGTTTCACTGCTACGTGCGTGTGTTCCAAAAAGGATCGAGATACTTCCGGACGGAGGTATCTGCAAGTTCTAGGATCTTGAAGAATTCTTACATCCCCTCGCATTCATACTTCATATGCAAAGTGTATCCAAGATCTTATAGTATATGATTCTAGTCTTATATAATAGTAGTATTGTATTAAGGAATGTAATGCAAGACTCAGATTCGCGAATTGATCGAAAAAAGTACATCATTTTGATACACAGTATATTTACTATTAAAAAATTTCTGTCTCACGTTTCAGCCATTTTACACTTCACTTGACTTCACCGGAGGGCCAATCATACTCTCTGTAGTTGGTGCATCCAAAATCATAAATCTCTTGCCTCTCCTCGATGATTTCCTGTATGTACGGCTCCATATACCGATACTCCAAATCTTGCTCGTACGTGATCCATTTCTCCTTGGGTAGATACGTTTTCATGAAGTCCAATTGTGCCGCTCGTATGCACCTGTAAAGCGTATGTAGGCCACTCGCGAGTTATGTACACATAGTTTCAGCTCACTGCAAACACGCGAATAAACGAAATACTCGAGCGACTGAAATTCGTCGGTAAATCGTAAACAGTTAATGAACGGATATGTTTGGTACCGAAAATTCCTGGCGTCCAGCACGTCCTTTGGTAGTCGGCGGAGGACTTCTTCTATTATCGGCTCGTAGAAATTCAGGATATCGTGCGTGTATAGACCGTACCTGTTATATCGCGACAAATTGAACGCTAATTTGCCTATCTCGAACCGCCAATCCTTCGAACGACCGACGTTCGAGAAACGTTTCGATAAACCGGGCTTCAGGAACGGGGATAATCGTAACATCGTAACGACTTGGAGGTTACCTTCTCGAACAACGTTGACACAGCTGTGGAATAAGAGAGTTCCGAAAACTGATCGTCGTTTGAATCGAACAGAATAATATTCGTTCGGTGGACTCCGAAGTTTCTATTGATCTTGTGGAACTTTGTTTCGTGTCACACCTTCCATTTCAGTAGCATACTAAGATCATATTATTTTCCGAACGCTTATTTCGAAATTGGCAAGTTTGAAAACATAAAAATTTGAAATTTCGAAGCTCTTAAATTTCCATCTTCTGCAGTAACTTTTCCACTTAGGCACCTACTGCAAATAGTCAGCCCCGAACTTAAAAGCGAATTTACTACAGTTACGAAGTAGCCCGGAATTCGAACGTAAGGAAAAGATTGAAACGATGCGCGTTATAGTGTCTCCAAGTTGAATTTTAAACGGAGTTAAAGTTTCTCGAAGCGAGAGTAATCGCGCGAGAACTCGAAGAGCGAACGTCTTCTGAATCGTCCGCTTTTAATTTTTGCCTCGCGACGAGAACCTTCTCCGTTTCGGTGTTTACTCAATATTAGAATGTCTCGCCAGGCTGAAGCATTCTAACGACGCGAGTGATGACAGAAGAGGAAGGTGTGTTTGCCGGTCCTGCGGAAGAGCATTGTCTCGTAATGGTATGCGAAACTCTTGAGAAATTCTTCTGAATTTGGGTCGGGTTTACGAGGCACGTCGCCTGTTTTAAAATCAACCCGCTCGTAAAATCTTTCCTCGATCAAGGGATCGTTTAGGAAGATATATTGCCGGTATATTGGTCCACTTCAGATAAAAATTCTACATTATTAATTTCTTCAAGGGTGCTTACACATATGCCTTCACATATTTAGTTCTTTAATTCGTCAACCAAAGATATTTTATATTTTGTATATTTTATTTTATGTGACTGTTACAGATTAGAAACGACACAGTTAACTTTTTGTAGCGTCAAAAAAATCATCTCCATGTCAATCTGTAAATTGACGCGTTCCTTCAATCGCAGAACAGAGTCGAATCTAATTCCGCAATTTTCGCGGTAACTGCACTCCGCGTATCACGCATCTGCGCTCAATTCGAATCAGATAGGATGCAGATACGTAGATTAACGTTCTCGCCTGCATTTAGCCGCTAAATGTTGAAGCATAGCGCAGCATACGAAACGAAAGATTAAGAAATTATACTTTCAAAGCTTTCACGAGGTACAGAAGCTGCGGTTTGACGATTTATGCGAGAGATCGAGGCGAGACAGCGTCGATGGTCCACGTTCCTGTACGGTTTCCTCTGGAAGATCAGCCACGCATTACACAAGGGATGGAGGAATACGATTTATGTTGGTGACTGGTAACGTGCCACTGGCAGTGGGTGACCACCCCTTTATCGTTCGCTATGCGACGTGGACCTCCGTTTCTAGCTCCGTATTTTCGTCTAGTGAACAATAGCACTTTTTTTAAAAAAACATGCATACACTTTTCTAGTTTTACATATGGTAAATTCAGCACTTGATACTTTCGGTAAGATCAATACCTTGCATCTACTTTGAGATCAGCTGATCAATAGGTTAAGGGATGAGTGTTGGAGTTGAATGAAAAATAAATATCAAGAGAAATCAAACAGCTTACTGTCACCTGTATTTTCAGAAAATTTGAGATAGCCTTCAACATCGACCTAATCATTCGGAAATAAAATAATGTCTCTCCGAAGAGAATCAAAGAAGGAGTAAAGCATCAGCGATAGTTCATGGAAAAAATCCGAGTTGAAGGAACAAACAACGGTCCTTTCACGGTATTTTCTGCCGAACCGCGACTTTATCGATACAACTTTTCCTCATTGTTTACGGAAACGTCGAAGCTATTTGTTCCCGCTGCACGAAATAAAGGCGACAGGATCAAATGAAAAACAACAGTGACTTTCTATTCAGCGTCATGAATGTCGCGATATTAATTAAACGGAAAGAACATGGTTTAATTGCCCCGACTGAATTCAATACGCTCGATAACGTATCCTGTTACCTGTTAATTTGATTATTGGAACTTGCTAATAAATTGATCATCGAGAATATTAATGCGGACTGGATTCACTTGTCGAGTGTTCGTTACGCATCGAAACGTGATTAATCGGGGAACACGTGGCATCTGGTTCATCCACGGCCATTATCTTAAATTCTATCGGTAGACACGATTGTTCAATATTCTTTCGCGCGATGATCATCAATCGTGGTGCGCCTCGACTGTAACAAGGCTCGAGCTTGCGTTTTATGGTAATTACATTCGGTGTCGATTAATCAACTCGTCCGTTTTATTTCTCGAACACTGGTTTCAGTGATGAGCTATCTAACGGCGCTCCTTCTTATCTCTCGCTTCATTTTCGTGACAGGTTTATTCGACTTCGAAATCAATTCCCGCAGTGAATGAAAATCATTTATTATCAAAATAAATCTGTGTACATTTCAAAATATTGAACACTTGGATTATGATGTGGATGAATTTTATTAAAGACAAAGGTGGATGAAATCTCGTATAATTCATAAGATAATGCAAATTAAACCTTGATTTTCCAGCAATAAATTCATCCGTTTATTTCAGCTAAATGCAACCGCGTTCTAAAGCAAAAAACTTACATCGAAAGAACTTTATACTAGAAAGCCCGTCTGAAACTCGATAACGGATCATGGTTTCCCCATGTCAAAGTTCACGGACCACGGACCCAGCTTCAGCGTTCTGTGAATACCAACTGGAGCCAAACCCTCGGCGTTTTCTTTCACAGTGTTCAGCACGTTTTTGCCACGCTCGAATAACTTCCTTGGGAATCTGTGGTTCAATTGTTGGTCGTCTTTATCTCCGTCAGCTTTCAATTTCGACTTCAATTTATCCATTACGAACCCCAAGATCTGCTTGACGGGCTGCAGCGGCGAACCCGCCTCGACGTTGCCCAGAAATCCATTTTTAAACAAATTCGCTAGAAACGGATTATCGGTCTTTACGTTTCGTTCTTGCGAAGAGTCTGCGTTGCTTTTCGTGCTGTCTGAAGTTTCATTTACAGCTGCCTGATTTTTGCTACAAAACGTTGGATTTTTTAGTGAAACGTTGAAGTATTCTTTTCTCAAAGTATTGTAATAACACAAATATTGTAATGCATAAATATTGTGATGACTTAATCGTGTAATCTAAACAATCGTTACCTGGACGAGTCAGAATCCGCAGACGAATTGTCAGGCGCCGCCCGTCGAAACAATCTCTGCAAGCTCTGTTCCGCATCAACATGGTCGCCAGACACCTTGTTTTTCAAATCGTCGTCCGGACCGAGGACTTCCGAAACTTGCTTTCTCGCCGTCAGCTGAAAAAGTTCGCTCGTTTTCGCGACGTTATTACCAAACTGTCTCTTCTCTCCAGCGATGAAGAAACACGAAGCAGACTGATTAACTGATATTGTCGTTCAAACCCACCTGGTCAAAGTTCTTCTCGAGGAGCCGTAAAAGTTTAACAATGTCGTTGATATGAATCTCCCTGCCTGCTTGAGATGTATTTACTGTCGAGCTTTTTGGATCCGCAATTGGCTCATTCTGACTCGTTCGAGCGTCGCATTTAACCGACGAAATTACGGAAACGCAGTAAAACGTGGTAATGAGGGACACTCGCAACACCGAAAGTAGTTTCATCGTGATAGCTAGTTTCAACTGTTTGGGCTCCACTTTCGGACACAATTTTATAGGCGTTGCACAGCTGTTTCGATCAGGAATTGTTGCGTGAAAAATGAAATATGCTTGATATGTGGCGTTTGAACAGTCATTGGCGTAACCGGGTTGACTTCGTTGAATATGGAGGTCATACATGTAGCACATGACCATATGGGATCGCGTAGCAATTTCACGTGAGCTAAACAATAGCATATTGAAAATAGGTTGTACGAGTCGACTGTGAAATGCGTCGAATGCATGTCAGTCTAGCGCCTGCATTTATACAACCAGTCGACAATACATATCGGCTGTGCAACTAAAGAATGCAATCCAACTTATCGATCTAACGAATGTTGTGCTCTAAAATAACAGTCCGCTCTAAAACATGAACTGAAGCTTCTAATAATCCCGATTACGCCAATGTGCACGATCAGAAATCGTTACGCGTTGACGAATTGCTGTATTACGAAAGAAGACAAACACAACTGGTCCTGTCACCGATTTTGACGAATGTCTCGTTTTTAGTGAGCGCGCGGAATCGATTTCGAGTTAGAATTCGGTTCCTACAAAACACGAGGCTGTTTTTGCGGCGTGCCGGTTTGCAGGAAATTTTCTTACCGCGGCAGCGGGATTCCAGCAGGATCAGCTTTACTGGCAGGACGAGGCATGCCGCGCGTATCGACGTGCGAAGGATATAACTTTGCTGGAAGAGCGAAACTTTACTCGAACTATCGTCGTTTTTCATGCAACTTTTCCGCTTCCTCTTTCTCCTGCGTCCGGGTATTCGTAACATTTTCGCGGAAACTTTATCGTTTTCCGATCATAACGCATACTTATATTCCCGCTTTAAAACGAGAATTGTTAAATCGTGGAAAAAAGAGAAGAAAGGTGGATCTGTCGGTCTTTAATCGGTCCAATCAGTGTCCCTTGTAATTGTCCCTCGAGATCAAAGAGAATTCGCGTCAGGATTTTGGTATATTTTCCTCCCTTGGCCATCACGTACTTGCTAACTTGAGGATCAGTCGCTCGTTCGAACGAGCTAATTGTGAACGTACCTTTAACACCCGCGGTGCCGTCTTGCATTTTAACGCGGAGCCTCGAACGTTTCTTGGATCTCCTTCCGTGATGAAAGGAAGCCTAGCACAAAGAAGCTTTCTCTGGCTGGAAATCCGCAAAATAGAAGTGCCTTCTCCGCTCGTATCTCGCGAGATATCGTGCCGCGAGCATCAATGGAGATTCCATCGATGAGTTCGAGGGAAAAAAATAGGGAGAAAAACCGAGGAGCGCTCTATTTTATCGCGACCGGTTACGGGCATGAATAGTAGTTCACGCGGAAACACGATGGACGTGGCACGAAACGTATACGCGACGAAGAAACTACTCGCCTGCTTCGCAAATGGAAGTGCAATCGGAAGTTTCGAGATGCACGTGTGCAACGTAGTCACGATATTTCGGTCGGCAATTACTGCGACCGGAAATGGAACTGCAGGCTTCGCGACCATGCCGAATGAGGCGTGCGAGCGAATCAATGTTAGTTGCAGTAAATTTCATCCGATCGTTGCTTCAATTTATTGAGATACTTCGAGGACCATCCGTTACCGACAAATTGGCCCAAAATTATGTTACAGAGTCATCGCCAGTGAATCATGATTGGAATAATCAATGAATTTTCTTTTGAGAAATCTTTTATTGAACATTTTATAATATTACACGGATTTAAATCCTACAGAGTATTTTACGTAAGAATTTAAAACATACCGACAAAATGTGATGTAGTAGTAGGATAAGAATATTGTGCTCTTGACAAGTTAACATAATTTAATTCGTATAAATTGTTCTAGACAGATTCTTGCGCCTTCCGGTACTCGTAGACGCTCCCGCGTTCGACGAATGCTTGTAGGTTTCTTTGAATCGATGCAACCCTTTCTCCGGGACTTCCGTAACCGCCTCCCCCTGGACTCTCCAGGATAAAGGTATCCTGCGAACACGAGAACGATTCATATATTACAGCGAAGTTATTCACGGTTCTTTGCTCCTCCACGCGAACGCGCGACGCTGACGATTCAGAGATACGTACAGAAAAATTCGGTATACAACTCCGCGTCTTCCATCTTCGGAGAGAAATGAAATTGTTGGGTCGTAAGAGGAAACGCGTAAAGGTGTTGCGAGCGTGAAGTGAAAACTTCCGCGGAGAAAACTTTGAAGATTGTGATCATATTTCATTTGCCGCGCGAACGAAGAAGTTTCCCGAAACACAGTTGCACGGTTTTACGAATAAGTATGGAAGTAGTGTGGACGCAAATATCTCAGACGGTTCATAGGAGCTCGTATACATCCCGCTTCGAAATGTATCGAGCTCCGCTGGGAAACAATCTTTACGAGACAGTGTTTAAAGTGCTGCTAGCTTTTTCTGAATTTAGACACGCTCCAACTGAATTATTCGTGTAATGCGTTCTTACCCCTGGAAGAACTGGAACAGCGGTTTTTGGGCCCAGGTTGATCTTTCTTCCATCGGCTCTTCGTAACGTATTTCTTCCTCGTGCTCCTGGCAGACCGCCAGCTAGTCCTGGTGGACTATGCACCCTTCTTTCCGTTAGCACGGACAGCGTCATGGGTGCTCTAAAGTACGATGAGTTATTACTTAGCGCATTGGATATCACGGAAATTAATATATCAGATGTGATATATTAATTAGAACTGAAGTTATATCGAACTTAATAGACGTGTGATTAAGTTCGTGATTATGTGTGAATTTCCCAAACCTTAACAAAATAAGAATTCACCTAAAAGTAATCTCACGAATGACACCATCGCCACCACGATATGCCCCAGCGCCACCGCTTCCAGGACGAAGGGAGAATTTGTTGAGGACAACTGGGTAACGAAGTTCCAGTATTTCCGGGTCCGTGATCCTAGTGTTTGTCATGTGAGTATGCACTCCTCCTCTGCCATCCCAGGTTGGTCCCTTCGGAAATCACTTCTCAATAAACAAATATTTATTCGATCAAGGGAAATGATTAAAAGTTTGGTGTATTACAGCTCCACTGCCACCAGCGACGGTCTCGTAGTATCCCCACTCCTCTGTACCGAGTGTCACGTTGTTCATGCAACCCTGGGACGCGGCACAGGCTCCAAAAGCTTGCAGAACTACGTCTACGACTCTTTGAGATGTTAGAACGTTGCCGCCCACCACTGCAGCCTCTTCGGAAGGATCCAAAAGCGATCCCTTGGGGATAATTACCTTGACGGGCTTGAGACATCCCTGAATAAAGAAATGTAGTAGTCTACGAAAGCGATTAAAGTTGAAGAGAATTGATACTCGAAATGAGATGTTACCTGGTTCAGAGGAACATCTCTGCCCACGATGCACCTCAGACAATAAATCAGTGCTGAAAGAGTAACCGCCCGGGGAGCATTGCAGTTGCCCCAAACTTCATACCCTGTACCACTGAAATTATCTTTCGTGAAAACTACCGATTTACTGTATTGCCACAAGCTATACTTCTAAAATTGAAAGCTTACGTGAAGTCACATATCGCTTCGCCTTTTTCGATATCGATGTTCAACAGAAATTTAATCTCGCTTCCGTCGTCCAGATAGTCTATCGCGCTTGTAGTAGTACTTCCAGTTTCCTTTAACAGTTTGTTGCCAACAGACTTCAACATATCTTTGACGGCCACCTCGGCGTTGTGCTGAATGTGGCCCATGTATGCTTGCACCACGTCGAGTCCGTATATGTCGATCAATTCGATGACCAGCAACGAACCCTATGGTGGGAATTCATCAGGTTAAATAAACGAGAAAGACTAGATTCATTTTGAGGTTGATTACTTTGTGATTAGCAGCAATCTGAGCTTTGAGGTCGCTCAGGTTGTCCGACAGGTTCCTGGTTCCGGAGCTGCCTGGAATCTTGCCTGGAGCCATTAATTCTTCGGTTAGCTCCTTTTCTCGGAACACGCCTTTGTGGACTAGTAAGAAGCTTTTGAAGGCGGCTCCTTCCTGTAAATTAGTGCATTGAATAGGGGTTGCATTGTCTTATTGGCTTGTCTTATTGATTGAAGGGTGTTATGAATTTGTACCTGAAGTAGAGTGGTCGAATGTGGCGGCATGGAGCCGGGAGTAATTCCTCCGATGTCGGCGTGGTGACCTCTGCTGGCAACGAAGAACACTGGCTTCTCCACATCCCTGCAACAAAGATTAACAAACTTGAAATTATCATTCTTAAAGCTATTAGAGACAAAAGGCTTTAAGTGGCCTTATCCTTTAAGTAGCCACCTGTAAAACACCGGAGTGATGACAGTAAGATCCGGAAGATGCGATCCACCCGCCGACGGATGATTCGCAAGAATCACGTCACCCCTTGTGAATTCACCCTTAAAGACCTTCATCTGAAACTGCACGGTCTCCTGCATGGCGCCCAAATGCACCGGAATATGGGGTGCATTCGAGACCAAGCCCCCATCAGGTCCGAAGACAGCGCAAGAGAAGTCCAATCTCTCCTTGATGTTCGTAGATATGGAAGTTCTCTGAAGAATCCTTCAAGCACAATTTCTGAACTCACGATAGGATCGAAGATAGCAGGGACGTTACTTTTATATTCATCTTATCGGTCTACCTGCCCATCTGCTCGGCGATGCTCATAAAACGGTGTGAGAATATGCTGAGCTGAATGGTGTCCAACTCCGTTGTGACTTCGGTCTTCGATCCTTGGCCAATTTTTATTTTTACGTCGCCACGGGGAGTGATCGATGCGGTGCAATCGGGTTCGATCAAGAGGGTACTTAGGCTGTCCATTATAATGGCGGGGCCGGGTATATTGTGACCGGGCGACAGATCGTGTAGTTGGTAAATTTTAGTGTCTAGGTAGCCGGCTTCGAAGTATACCTTGGTAGACTGTGGAAATTGGTCAGAATTTTTATTGGACGTTGTCGATTATTTGACTAAATCCTACTTCTACATACTTTATCCTTGCACTTACCTTTTCCACTTTAGGTGGCGTCGTCGCAGAAGGAAGAATAGGATCTTCTTTAATATCTATCTTACCCACACCTCTGACTCTAACGTCGTTCACCAGGATCTTTCTATTAGGCATCGTGAAACCAAACTCCATTTGATACCTTCATCAAACAAACATCCATTTATCATACTATCAATGTAACTTTCTCTTTATTCCATCCATTTTCAAAATCTACTCTATTACCTTTCCAAGAATGTACTCAGAAAGTCCCCATGTCTGGTACCCTTGTTTCCACTAGCCTTTAAGCTGGGTGTACACATCAGGGCGCAATCTGTGCCTTGGTAACGCAGGTGCAAGAATGGTTCCGTGACTATGTGAGAGTCTGCGAAGCCTTGTTCAGCTAACTTATTTCTAACCTTCTTCTCCAAAACGTCCAAACGCTCGTCCAATCGTGCAAATGATTCTGAAGTAAAAGAACATTTAAATTAATATTTTTAAAGATTGGCTTTAGGGAATTATTTACTTGGTTCGTAGACTTCTGCGCTGGGTTCCTGTGCCTCTTCGACGACATCCGCTAATGCCATTCCGTAAGCTGAGAGGATTCCAGCGTACTTGTGAACGAAAACGGTACCCATTCCCAGAGAACGAGCAATGGCACATGCATGTTGCCCTCCGGCGCCCCCGAAACAGGCCAAAACGTGTCGAGAGGTGTCATAGCCTTTGGCCTATTCAGAAATAAGATGTCAACCTGTCTTTGCAAGGTATTTGAAGGTTTCTGTACCTGCGTGAGAGCTCGTATTGGTCTGCACATGGTTTCGTTCGCAACCCTGATAAAACCCATCGCCACCTCTTCGATGCTCATCTTACCCTTGTGACCCTCTTTCGCTAGAAATTCGTTGATCTATAAATTACAGCGGAACTTTCATATACCTCGTGTATTTTAGTCATTTTTGTAATAAAAGAAATATTCAATACTTGATCCGTAAGCGTTTGGAAGGCTTGCAATGTACGGGACTTGTCCAGAGGTTCATTCTCGTTCGGTCCGAATATTTTTGGGAAGTACTCCGGTAACAATCTTCCTAGAGCCAAGTTAGCGTCGGTGACAGCGAGAGGACCGTTTTTCTTGTAACACGCTGGTCCTGGATGTGCTCCTGCACTCTCTGGTCCGACCTCGAAGAGACCTGACCTGAAGAAAAGCATCGATCCGCCTCCTGCCGCAACTGTGTTCACGTCCAACTTCAACCAAAGATCACGTTTTAAAACGTTGAAAGAAACGTGCAATCAAACAACGGAACTTTCGAATTTAGAGTGGATGAAACTTTTTAGCTCAGAATTTGTAGCTCTTATGTTCTATTTTATGCGAGACAGTTTTTACAAACGCTGAGTTTCATAAAACAACGCATCAGAGGGTAATTTTGAATCGGAAGTACCTGAGCTGCTTGGATCGTAACACCCGCAGTTGTGCTCTCGTAAACATGCTCGTAACTGCCGCCGTAACGGCTCACGTCAGTCGAAGTGCCACCCATATCGAATCCGATCACAGGCAAATCGGTTTCTTTGTTGTAAGTGGTCATCGCGTAACCTACGACCCCACCCGCAGGACCAGAAAGAATGGCACGAGACCCGTTGAATCTATAAATTATTCAAAAGTGTACAAGTACTTTTCACTTTTTATTCCATGAATAATTCACTGAATGAATAAATGTAGCACTCACGAGTGCATCGGAGTCAGTCCACCGTCGCTTTGCATGAACAGCACATTCACACCTTTCAGTCTATCCTTAAACCCTGACGAGAAACCCTGAACAATCGGTTACGCATCACTTATTCGAACAAAACTCGTGAATCAAATATGTAAAAATTTGATGCATGGATTTTTAATGTTATACCTGTAGATATTGTTTAATATGTGGTGTCAAGTACGCGTCGGCACAAGCAGTGAATCCTCTAGGAACAATCCTAGTCATTGGCATAACTTCGTGGGAAAGAGACACTTGAGGAAAACCTGCGAGCCTCGCCAACTCGCCTACTCTGACTTCCTGTTCAGCGAACCTGAAATAAGGGACTAAAATAAGATACAGCATTGTGGACGCAACAATTGCCGTCTTTAGAAACGAACATGTAACTGTGTGCCAAAACCACGGCCAAACTCTCGATCCCAGATCGTCGTAATTCCTGGAGGTCGTTTTTCAGCTTCTCCTCGTCTAGTTCTTGCGTGACGAACAGATCCTCGCCTGTTGAACCTTTCACTCGGCGCCATTTTTTGTTCTCCAGGTAGCATTTACCCGGCAATGCGGGTATTACTCTACACTTAACTTCTACTACTTCCTTGTATAGGACTTCTGGCGTGAGGACTTGCTGTAAAAGTATTGCGTTAATTGTGGGTTGGAAGGTGATGGAAGGAAATTTGGGATTTTGGGATGTTTGGGAGTTGGAGATCTGGAATTTTGGGAATTTGGAATTTGGAGGTTGAGGCATTTGAGATTTTGAGAATTTTAGGAGTGGGAGTTTGGGAGTTTCAGAGTTTGAGAGTTTGGGACGAGTTTGAGAGATTGAGACTTTGAGAGTTTGGGAGTTTGAGAGATTGAGACTTTGAGAGTTTGGGAGTTTGAGAGTTTGGGAGTTTGAGGAGTGGGAAGTTTGAGTATTTGGGAGTTTGAGAGATTGGAACTTTGAGAGTTTGGGTGTTTGAGAGATTGGGACTTTGAGAGTTTGGGGGTTTGAGAGATTGGGACTTTGAGAGTTTGGGAGTTTGAGAGTTTGGGAGTTTGAGGAGTGGGAAGTTTGAGTATTTGGGAGTTTGAGAGATTGGAACTTTGAGAGTTTGGGAGTTTGAGAGATTGAGACTTTGAGAGTTTGGGAGTTTGAGAGATTGGGAAGTTTGAGAGTTTGGGAATTTGAGAGATTGGAACTTTGAGAGTTTGGGATTTTGAGAGATTGGAACTTTGAGAGTTTGGGAGTTTGAGAGATTGGGACTTTGAGAGTTTGGGAGTTTGAGAGATTGGGACTTTGAGAGTTTGGGAATTCACATAGCTATCTGAAAACGTTGAAATATAAAAATCTGGAATCTCAAAATTCAAGAACTCAAGTACTTGAAACTACAGAGCTCTGAATCTACCATACCACTCTCAGATACATACCAGATCAAATATATTAGGCCTCGCCTGGTTTCCAATAAAAAGAAGATCCCTAAATCCCTCGTTTATCAACAGTGCCATTTTCGCACCCTTTCTTTCCAGCAGAGCATTCGTAGCGACCGTAGTTCCCATTCGAATCCATGATATCAACGAAGTGTCAATTTCGCCCTCAATTCTTTTCCCAGTCTCCTAAAAATCGCAGCAAATTAATCATCGCACCTAATGTCGCTATAATTAACTACCTGTTCAAGAATTCTTCTAATTCCTTCTCGCGGCGCGTCTTCGTAATTGGCCGGATCAACTGACAATAGTTTTATCGCTCGAATCTTGCCGCCTGGACATCTGGCGTACACGTCCGTAAACGTGCCACCGCGATCTATAGCGAACTCGAACTTCTCGACCATTTTACACCTGTAGTCTGTCAAAAGCTCGAGAGATCCAGTGGATACCACACGCGAGACTGTTTCACCAGAGAATCATCGAATTCGGTGCACGATAAGGTCTGATAAGATCACGACATAAGCCCGCAGTGTACACACGATAGAACAAACAAAGTGGATTTTCGACTGCTGTTATTTTGACTGTGATATCGCGATTATTGTTAACAGCAAACTCGATTTGTCTTTGAAAAAATTTCACTCACGATCTACCATAGATCAACAGTACTCTTCTGAACGTTCGAACGGAACATGCAACTGTTTGTTTTGCGATGGAGTAACACCGATAGGGAACATAGGCGTAGAGCGATGACAGAGCTAGTATATTTCCATTAGGTTTATTCGTTTGGGTTGTTACGTAACGCGAATGTACATGGATATTTCAAACGTGGAACTATTTAGAGGTTATTTTGTATATATTGAGTCCCAGCTTGAAGTTTATATCTCGATCGAATTTTAATAATTCCTTTTTGGATCTGTCGAGTATCGGATAAATTATTCTGTTGATGGTTCCATGAATGAAGAGTATTTTGGGTTAATTGAACAGTAAAGAGAGTAGCGTCGCGTCGTTAACGACCAGGGTCACCGGACCCTTCGAGACTGCGCACTCATGATTTCTGGTTTCATTAGATTCGATGGGAGGAACCTCAGGTTCCCCTACGGGACAAAGTCCAAGTCGAATTGACACTTCTTTTTATCTCAACGAGAACGATTTATTAAACTATGACATGTCATTTCGTTTTACATACGCAAACGTCGCTTTACAGGGTCGAGGTCGTACGTTCGCATCACATGATCGTCGCATCTCTTACAAAATAATTTAACAAAGTCTTTATCTCTAGAAATTTTGATGCCTACGTACGTACAAAATAAACCTACAGATGTCTAAATGTTACAATTTTTCTGTTGAGAACGTTTCTCAATATAAAAATACGTTTTCTAATCTACGTATGCTTAATCCGTATCGCCGTTAATGGGACAGGACTCCATTGTTCTACGTCGCTAGTCACTGCAGCTCAATTTGGCAATATAGCGAGATGCAACTGGAGAGTGGAAATAAAAGCTGGAGGTTCTCTGATAAAGTTTCTGTTTGTAAAATCGATGTGAATGGCAAATGCAATATTACTGCTGTGCATTGCATTTATAAAATTTAACTCGTTTATTTTCACTTTTCAATTACTCTCACTGTCCTGAGCTAACGCAGTGTCTTAGGCGTTCAACAATATCAATGTCTGCCCAGGGTCCCTTAAACTCTAACGGCGGCACTGGTTTAACTCAACCGAGTATCGTAGAATACGTGTAAAAATATGTATCCATAAATGCAGTTTTTCGCGGAAGCTTCGAGATTCGGAAACGTGCGAACGATTTTACAAAAGATAGAAAACAGCTCTCGTTAATAAATAGAAATTATACAACAGTTTTGCGAATCTTGTTAAAAAAATATCTTTTGCTGAACAGATTCAGGTAGCAGTCTTTACAACTTGGCCTTCCCCTCGAGGATAGTGTTGTAAATTTGTTCCGTGAGTTTCACGTAGTCCCCAGAACGCTCCAGAAAGTAAACTGGATCAGTGATCTATAAATTACAAAAATAAAACAGATTCGAGAAAAGAGAAACAGAAGATTTCGAGTTACCTTTTTTATGTCGAAACCATCTCGTTGAAGATCCTTTTTCTTCAACTTGAACGTGCCTGAGGAAACACAGAAGCTTATCAAATTTGCGCGAGAAGCGGATAATATTATTAGCAAGATACTTGCCAGTCATTGGTAGTTCCGATAAAACTCGAACGAAGAGAGGCCTGGCGTACGACGGCAGAGCCTTTTTCACGCCCTCCGCCATTTCTTTGATGTTCAGAGTGTTATCTGGGTCGTAAATGGCTGCCATTCCGGCCTTGCCTTCGGCTCCAGGTACCTATCAATGTTACAGAGTATCTGTAGAGCATTTTAAAACCAAATTGCAGCTTCTCTCGGTCGTTACTTACTTCCACTCCATAAACGACTGCGTCTTTCAGACCAATCACGTTACTGACTACACCTTCGACTTCGGAAGTAGCCACGTTTTCACCGTGCCACCTGTGTAGCATTTTAGACTTAAAACAATTAAGAATTTAGGAAACTGAAAGACTATTTTATTGATGTGAATTTACCTGAACGTGTCACCGGTTCTGTCCTTGAAATAGAAGTAGCCCATCTCATCCATAAGTAGGATATCACCTACCAAAAATATGAACATGCAATATTATTGAAAAATATCCGACATCTTCCTCTAAGTCTGGTCTAATCTTATACGATTGTACATTATTTGTACATTGTACGTTGCGATTGTATTTAGAGTTTCAAGCTTTTAATGCATTACTGACCGGAATTGAAGACACGATCGCCCTTTTTGAACACGTCACGAAGAATCTTCTGTTCAGACGCTTTCGTGTCGGCGTATCCAGAGAAGTCGTTCAGCACTCTCTTAGGATTAATTTTGCCCACGAAGATGCCCGATTCTCCTAACGAGGAAAACAGCAACTTAGTACTATTACGACATTGACAGAAGCGAGAAACTAACCAGGTTTGCAGCGTATGCAGAGACCATCCGGTCCTCTCAATGGTTCTCCAGTCTCCTCGTCGACCCTCAACAATGCTACTGGATACAGGGAACCAGCGAACAACGGCACGAATCCCACTGCTCCGATCTTGTTGTCGATGTTCACTGAAAAAGAATTATGAATAAAAAATCCTTGCCTTAAAGCTATGTAAATGTAGCTAAAGTCTGTGTGTCAAACAGCAACAAGGAAAAGATACAAATATTAATGAAAAAGTGAAATAACTTCAGATAGGCTCTGAAGTTATAGATAAATTTTTCCATGGCTACAATTACTCGATTGCAGAGGTAAAGTTAGTCATGTGAGATTAATGAACTAGGCTATCAACATCGATCTATCTGATTAACTAGAAATAATATTTTCGAGTACTCTCATAGATTAGTTGTACTTGCATGTTGTAAATTTCTGCGAAAACAGAAATATTTGCTCATGACTAATAGTCTTGCTTATCAATTTTTAATGAACGTTATTGCTACCTTATCGTTACGTAGTGCATCCGCACTTAGAAGTATACTGTAACCTAGATATAGACAGGTATAAAAAATGGAAAGCATTCGAAAATTATTTATGAAAAGTTGAAGATTCTGCTTAAACCACTAACAGCTTAAATTAATGAAATTACCCAGATTCGAGTTTCCTTCAGTAGCACCATAAAACTCCCCAATCTGCTTCACCCCGAATCTCTCCACGAACGGCTTCCAAATCTGCGGCCTAAGGCCGTTTCCAAACATCAGTCGAACCTTGTGCGTGGTATCGCAAGGGCCTGGAGGTACAGTGAGCAAATATCGACAGATCTCTCCGATATACTGTGCGACCTGCAATCAAAACATTCTTGCTCTTATCGTCGTAATCAATTACTATAATAAATTGCTCGTGATACGACGTTACGCGGAAAAACCGAGTGTAATAGAGCAATTGCAAACTCCAATTACGATTGCATGCTACTGAATTTGAGTCGACCGAGTAACAATGATCTTACGGTGCATTCGTAATGGACACAATCCGGCCAGAACTTTGAAGCACTGAATCGTCTGCGAAGGACAACCGTGATGCCCTTTAGCAATGTTTGACCCACTCCAATTAGCCCTCCGGCGGTGTGATAGAGCGGTAGAGAATTGTAGATACGATCGGTCGATCGCAAACCGAGCATGGAGTTTACGCCACACGCCATTAACATGTACCTAGAATAAATAAATTGCTGTTAAATCACTGTGATGACTTCTGGAAAATTCTCGGACCATCGAAATAGCATTTTGATTGAAATAGTCTTGACGGGAATTATAGTTGGTATCAGAAAAGGAAAGTATCAAAGTACATACGCCGTTGCCGCTGAGCAACGAGGTCATTGAAACGTCTGATGATTTCATACATCATAAAATTTCACAGACAGATAATTGAGAAATATGAACGTTTAATAATTGAAAAAAGCGAAGCAGCTGTTCGAGACGATAAACATTTGCAGCTTCATTTTTCTCGCAAACGATGACTCGTCGATTATTCCGTACTTTCCAAAATTGGTATCAAAGTCTGTTTATTGCCATCGCTTATCGTGCGTATTCCGAAACATAATCTGCATTTTTACATCATTCAGAGATAATTGGAATCATACTTATCACTTTCGTTCTGACGTAATTTTATTTTTCGATCATTTTTTATGATTAAATCTCGCGGTGATTCGTTAATAATTGTGTCAACTGCCTCGCAAATTAATGAAGATTTTTGTTTAAAGCTTGCGTCAAAATTCGTACCTTAAATTAGTAATAACAGCAGCCTTCGGCATCCCAGTGGTACCCGAGGTATAGATGTAAATCAATTTATCCCGGGGAGTACCTCGACTGAGGTCGAGAGGGCTCGGATCGATGGTGCTGATTTCCGTTTTTAGATCGATCGCTCCTTCGAGACATGGGGTGTCTGGCAGATCCGACCACTGGTACAAAGCCACGTCTGGAATTTTCTCCCTAATTTCACGAATCACTGAACAAAAAGACGTATCGTTCTTATTCTTGTTTCAGAGCGGAAATATCGAAAGTTGCTAACATTCAATTTAAGGCGAAAAGTGTGCTGATAACCAAAAAACTTGAAGAAAATAGCATTATGAAAGATTATACAACTGGTTCTAGTGAGCCAACAAGTTAATTGATATTCTCGCTAAGCGATACTTAGAAATCTTTTTCAACGAAGTATACTTACACTGTAAGAGTGATTCAACATTTCCTTATTGACGTTAATTCTTGTCATGCATATATTCCATTAAATCACAAAAGAGTCTACTAATTAGAAATTCCAAGAAAATTTTGATACGAACCTTCTTTAAAGTCCGATCCAAAAATAACAGCTTTACAATTGGCCGCCTTGATGCTGTGAACCAAAACGTCTCTATAAAGGTTCGTGTTCAAAAGTGCACCCACGTATCCAGCCTTGCTAAGACCTAGCCACGTTCCCACATATTCGGGGCGACTTTCCATTATCAGACCGACGCTATCCCCAGGGGATAAGGATTTCGTTCGAAAGTAACGCCCCAGTTGATTGCTGTATTCTTCCAGCTACGAAACGAGAATATTACAATGCTTTCTGCAAGAATTCTCGTTAATTCGACTCACCTTTCGATACGTCCATTCCTTGTCCTCGAAAATGAAAGCAATTTTATCAGGATTAGTGGTGGCGAACCTCGTAAATATCTTTGCCACAGTGTACCCTCGCTTTTCGAACCACCATAGCAGAGCATTAACACGGACGAACCTGTAGGCACCCCTGTCACGGAAGAAAAACGGTGCTTAATAACATTTACTTCTGATGTCTGAAAGTCTGGATGCGGAAGTACGAAATTCATCTTTCGGTTTGACGAGGGATCAGTTTGTGATGGATTAGGATGGGAAGTAGGTTAGGTTTTTAGGACTGTGGAAGTTGGGGATGTTAGAGTTTAAAATTTGAAGGGTTTGGAACTCAAGCTCAAAAATTTCTAAATTTCCAACTCCTCACGTCCCCAAATTCTCAAGCTCTCAAATTTCTAAATTTCCAAATTCTCACGTCCCCAATTTCTCAAGCTCTCAAATTTCTAAATTTCCAAATTCTCTCGTCCCCAATTTCTCAAGCTCCCAAATTTCTAAATTTCCAACTCCTCACGTCCCCAAATTCTCAAGCTCCTAAATTCTCAAGTTTCCAAATCCTCACGTCCCCAAATTCTCAAATTTCCAAATTCTCACGTTCCCAAATTCTCAAGCTCCCAAATTCCTAAATTTCCAAATCCTCACGTCCCCAAATTCTCAAATTTCCAAATTCTCACGTCCCCAAATACTCAAGCCCCCAAATTCCTAAATTTCCAACTTCTCACGTCCCCAAATTTTCAAGCTCCCAAATTCCTAAATTTCCAACTTCTCACGTTCCCAAATTCTCAAGCTCTCAAATTTCTAAATTTCCAAATTCTCTCGTTCCCAAATTTTCAAGCTCCCAAATTCCTAAATTTCCAACTCCTCACGTCCCCAAATTCTCAAGCTCTCAAATTTCTAAATTTCCAAATTCTCTCGTCCTCAATTTCTCAAGCTCCCAAATTCCTAAATTTCCAACTCCTCACGTCCCCAATTTCTCAAGCTCCCAAATTCCTAAATTTCCAAATCCTCACGTCCTCAAATCCTCAGAGAGTGTTGGATGTGATAATTTTAAGACTCTAGAAGTTGGGGGATGTTAGTGTTTAAAATTTGAAGGCTTTGGAACTTATAGAGTGTTGGATTTTTTAATCTGAGGACTCTAGAGTTAAGGAATATTAGTGTTCAAAATTTGAAGACTTTAGTACTTAGTGTTGGATTTTGTAATCCTACGACACTGGAAGTTGAGAAATATTAATGTTTAAAATCTGAAGTCTTTGAAACTTAAAAAATATTGTGCTTTAAAATTCCATAACTCCGAAACTTGCAGAATGGAGTCCAAAATTTTAGCACTTCGAACGTGAAGAATGCTGTAGTCTAAAATATCAAACATGGAGAATGGACCTTAAAATTTTATCACTCTAAACCTTGAATGTTTTCTGTAATTTTAACTCTGATTTTGGAATGTCATCAATTGCTCACCTTATTAAAGTGACGTGTTAAAAAAGACGTGACAACCGGTAATGATTTGGATAATGGGAGTGATTCTACGCGACACATTTCTACGATGGGAAAGGGGTCAGTCGGAAAAGCATTGAATGACACGATTAGTCGGGAAGCGAATCAGAGTACAGATAGAAACGATCGTATGTTTTCTGGATCGTTGATACGTATTTCTCTTGTCCCTACCACGATTCTAATGTAACATCCTTTCCTCTCTGGATCAATTGGTTAATGTCGCGGCTCGACACGCGCGTGACATGTGTCGCGCGAACGCAACCTTTCTGCGATTGCTCCTTCGACACCTGTTTGATTGCGCTTCCATTACCATGTACTGATATTTAGATTTCACCGTTGTTAATTTATATGCATTAATTTCGAATTAAATGTCGTTTCAAAATCTGCTTTAGAAATCAATGGAGATAATTTAAAATATACATGGAGTCATTGTAGATAATTTAAAATACCACGTTTGTTGCTAATTTTTTGTCTCTTGCATGTGTACCATCTGATTATTTCGGTAATATTGACTGAAAAAGATCACTAACATTTGCTACAATTGCAACTAATCATCATGAACTTGCATTTACAATAAATTCTACAAACTAATAAATTCTCTGTTTATAAATAAAAAAGAATGTTTACAATAATTACAGTGAAAACTCTGTAATTATAATCATTCAAAAAAGTATACTCTTGACAATAAAAACAGTAATTACCCAAATCACAAAAGAGATTAATCCTCACATCTTAAGATTATTAATCTTCACATCTAATCTCCATCTCAAGGAATTAAGGCCAAATCGCTAGGTAAAATCAATAAAAACAACCGACGATATTTTAATAACACTTTATTTGCATATAAGCTACACTTTATTCGAACATAAAGATGTTGAAGAAACAGAAGCTATCCCCGGAAGATTACGCCTTTGCCGAAGCTCTCGTCTCGCGGCGAGTATACGACACCAGCGGTCAGCCCCTTCCAACGCTTCCACGGTGATTAAATGAAATCAAATAAAATAACGAAGCACGTTGCGTGCTAGGTATGAAGATAACCTAGAGACCGCGGTGCATCACTCGCGGTTTCGTTGCCACACGTTAACCCCTGGGCTCAGGTTTGCATCTCCATGAAGGTAATCCTCCAGTCGACGTTAATACTCTTCGCTATGGAGAACGTACGCCCTTGAACGTTTTACTACACGTTTGCAGATATAATTTACTGAGTTTCATACACTTTCTTTGGGTAAATCTACATTTTGGTGTTGTGATTGTTGAATTTTTGGAGGATTAAAATTAGGACTTTGGAGGTTCAAAGTTGGGGAGTTTTGAATTTTCAATTTAGCTATTCGCAAATTTTTTATGTGCAACTACCCCAATTTCTAGAATGCAGAATTTTTAAGTTCCTAAACTCTCAAATTTGTAAATTATCAAGCTCCCAAATTCCTAAATTTTTAAATCCTCACGTTCCCAAATTCTCAAGCTCTCAAATTCTCACGTCCCCAAATTCTCAAGTTTCTAAATCCACACGTCCCCAAATTCTCAAGCTCCCAAATTCTCAAGTTTCCAACTCCTCACGTCCCCAAATTCTCAAGCTCCCAAATTCCTAAATTTCCAACTCCTCACGTCCCCAAATTCTCAAGCTCCCAAATTCCTAAATTTCCAAATCCTCACGTCCCCAAATTCTCAAATTTCCAAATTCTCACGTCCCCAAATACTCAAGCTCCCAAATTCCTAAATTTCCAACTCCTCACGTCCCCAAATTCTCAAGCTCCCAAATTCCTAAATTTCCAACTCCTCACGTCCCCAAATTCTCAAGCTCCCAAATTCCTAAATTTCCAACTCCTCACGTCCCCAAATTCTCAAGCTCCCAAATTCCTAAATTTCCAACTCCTCACGTCCCCAAATTCTCAAGCTCCCAAATTCCTAAATTTCCAACTCCTCACGTCCCCAAATTCCTAAATTTTCAACTCTTCACGTCCCCAAATTCTCAAGCTCCCAAATTCCTAAATTTCCAACTCCTCACGTCCCCAAATTCTCAAGCTCCCAAATTCCTAAATTTCCAACTCCTCACGTCCCCAAATTCTCAAATTTCCAAATCCTCACGTCCCCAAATCCTCACACCCCCAAATCCTCACGTCCCTAATCTCTCAAATCCTCAAATTCCCAATTTCCCGAATTCATCAACTTCCCAAATTCTCAAATTCTCGAACGTGTCCCAACAAACCAACTGCAGTATCGCCATAATCTACCGTGCAGCGCCATTATCATAAACCGCGATTATCATAAAATTTTCCCGAGCAAAGAAACATAAAATTTGTGAAATAAGAAATTGTCGTCTCGTAGGAAACTGCACCAAGTATACAACTATGGCGCAGGGCAAGTGAGACATTTGATCTTCGAGCGATGATAGACCAACGCTTAATGGAATGTAAACGCTGGCATCCAACACTCGTTCGCGGACAAGGACGCACGTTGAGCTGTTTATCTTTCGGCGAGAAAATTTTGCAAACGATGTTTGCGCGATTACACGTGTTCCGGGTACGGAGAATGCGATACTGCATTCGATATTCCAACAACCTGTTGCCATCGGCAATGCTAGCGACCACTTTTGCGGACCGTTGTAATCGATTCCATCGACTCTGCTCGTGGAAAAAGCGGTGCAATTCTCGTATAAGTAGACATCTTTTCTATTGAGAAATATGGGGAAGCGTGACGGTTTTCATGATCCTGGAATCGTGACTCAAATAATTCTGATGTAAAAGTGAATGTTTGAAACCTTCATGCATTGTCCTTATTTTAAATTTTAAAAATCATTCAAATGTCAGGGTCGGGGTTAATAAATTCCTTGTCCGAATAGAGCCTCGAAAACACTTTAATAATGTACTGTATTATTATTTAAAAGGGAAATTAAACTTGCGAATATTTTATCATATTCATAAATTCCACCCTATGCAAAGTACGCTCAAAATGAGTTGTATCAGAGATGGTAATTATATTCGCAACAAAAATGTCTGCACGATGAAAGTGCAATTTTTATTAATAGCTGTTTGAATTTATAAATGCCCACATCAGCCGTGAAATGTTTAAAAACATCAACCACTTTTGCCCCGTTCCCGCATCCAATACCACAAGGGAATTTCTCCGGCTTTTCAGTCCATCAGTCGTCAAAGTCAAAGTCCACGCATCAAAGAGAACGCGTCGAACAAAATTAAAGCCACACGAACTTATGTAACCGATGTTTGCGAACCGCACGAAACACCATGCGGTTCCCAGGTCCGAAATATAAAACAGAGGAGGTATTTGCACGGTGCTCTGTTCGAGCGCGATCACGGGATGAAAACCATGTTATTGAAGGAGCTGTTTAAATTCCATGCACTCCATATTGGCCCGACAATGGTCGTTCGCGGCGGTACAATGCACGAGCTGCATCCGCCGATGAATGTGTGCACATTGATAGCACGAGCACACTCGTACGCGAAGAATACCGGTACGATGCGGTGTATCAATCAATGGCCAGTTCTGTTACTGTGATAAAATCAATGCCAAATGGCCTGGGTTCGCTCCTGCCGTTATTATGCAACCTTTTTGCTGCAGATTTAGTCTTCGAACTGCTATCGGAGGACAATTTTTGGATGTAGATTAACCTCCTCGAAAATACTCTGTACCGGTCAGTTTGTCAAAGGTTATCATTGTTTTTGTGTTTACACTCTTCTCCATTTACTGGTATATGGTTTCTAACGAGGCAAATATAATGAAGAGATAAGTTATAGGAATAAGACTTCGTGCATTCTACGTTGGCTTGGCTTATAGAGAGAATCTCTTGTACTTCATTTACTCCATTAAAGTCGATGGATCCCACATCGCAGTAAACGTGTTAATTGGCAGTACAATTTATTTTACGAAAAAATGATGCCACTGGCACGTTATGACCTCGCTTGCTACCAAAATAAGTACCACTCTTTTCGAGAACAGTGAACCACAGAAGCCTAACAAATTAATCAAAGGTCCCCAAACCTAAGAATTAAAACAGTGAGTGACAGACAATGACTAAAAATGAAAAGTATGTAAAAGCATAGATAAGAAAATTGCAAGGACAGTAAATTTGAAGTACCACTTACACCGGAATTATGAGAATAAATAAAAACATTTCGAATGTGTATAAAAGGAAATGAAATATGATTGCAAAAGGCATCGACACGGATGACAAACATTTTCGAACAATACTTTCGCCGAGTATTCTGTAACGTGAACTCTGTGAAAACGGAGAGAAAATGTTTGATTAGGTTCAAGTGCGGAGCGTGAAAGAGCACGCGTGGGTGTACATTCAAGCGTAATCAAGAATATACGTTCGGTACAAAGTCAAATCGAGCCGTAACGCTCGAGATATTACGAATATTTGTTCAAAGGTTTTCTGTTTCCACCATTTCTGCTTCCGTGGTAACGGCGAGCACGTGGGTCCACCAGTGTCGATGAACGATTCTCGAAATTTTCGAACTCCTAAATTTCTCGATTCAAATTTGCGAATTTACTTTCAATTTTTAAATGTCTAACACTCGCACGATATCTCGTAGAATCTTATCCTAGTGTTTACAATTCATAGCATGCACAGTAAATAATCGTACCGATCGATCGTTGAAATGTTTTCACGGTGACAGTCGCAGAAAGGAAAAAGTGAGCAGTATCATCGATCGATTTGGTGTTAATTGAGGCACGATAATTTAAAATACTCACAGCACGTCTCTGGGCAAGGTCTTGCAGAGCAAATAAACGAAGCGTCGTCGGCTTCCCGTAAGCAAATAGGCGCCGACAATAACGGATAGACTCGCGATCACCAGCTCGTGCAGTCCCATGACTCGGAGGGAACAGGACGCGCACTGATCGATTCGCCGGCGCCCGTTAGGTCGCGTGTTACCACGAGCACGTATCTAACAGGGATGTTCTGTCGCGAGTCGAGCGCAAGAGATAAGAAAAGAACGCGTGCAAGGAGGCTCGCGCGTACGAGGACTAATACGCTCGGTCAGGTGCTCCAAGTCGCGAGCGGACGACGACTGACCAGGCTGCCGGTGTGTGTACTCGCATATACGTATCGTGTCGCGAAACGTACAAGTGATCGTCATTGATAGTCATTGGCGTAGCGTGCTAGAATGTGGGAGGGGAATCGCGCGAGTTCAAACTTTTCGCGGCTTCGTGCAACGAACGGAAAATCGATCGCGATCTAATCGATGTTGAAAATTCATCGAGTCTAAGACAGTGTCGGTTTAATTGCGTTAAACGGGGACGCCGCGATGTGCTCAATTTTCTAATCGATTAATGAGGTAAAAGCGGCGGATGCAAAGGTGTACGAGCAAATTTTTCGATACTGCAACATCGATTTTCTTCGGGTAAAAATAGCTGTGAGGAGTCTTCCAGTCTTCGATTTTAAAAGAACCTAGAGAGGATAAAACCGAAAAGAACCTAGACTCGTCTTTAATTAGTGTATATCGCACCCGACTATGTTCTGCATTTTTTTAGACCACGAGATAGAGAATACACCTGAACGCGAATCGCTTAAGAATAACAATATATATTTATACAAACTTATATGTTAATAATACACGTATACAATTGATGAAAGACAGGTACAAATATAGAACGTAACGTACGCACGATAACGAGTGTGTTTCAGTCTGGACGGAGCCCCGGTCACGAATATTTCACGACGATGGATACTGAAAAATAAAACGCCAATGATACTTCGACGCGTTCAAGCCTTCTTCGGACGTTAAAACATGAGAGGATCAAAAGCGAGACGCGTGCAAGTCGTACAGGAACAATGAGAAGCATCGATAAAGAGCCTTGTTAAATCTCGATCTGACACGGTGCGTTAATCTCGACAGACATTTCGTGGGAGACCTACCTAACCGCTACCGGTAAAAGAGAAGCCGATGAGAGCGTGTGCTGGGAACAGATTTAGAAGTGGAAAATTGATGAGTACCTGGAATCGAACGTTTGAGGCTCGTTACCACCGTGTTCGCTATCTGAGAACCAGGTAAAGCACCATGATGTCCAGAACTGAAAACGATACGCGTCGATCTGACTACGTGCGCTTTTTAACGATCGAGGCTAATGATTTGCGATGACGGTCGAACAAAACAGGTGCTGGTGCACGATGTTCGCGACAGAGAAACATAGACGTTCGGAGAACGCTTTAAATCAGAAATGCGCGATCAAGTTTTAAGTTTTTATGGAAAGAGGATTTTGGACATCTTTGGTGTTGAGATCTTGGGAGATTCACAGACTTTGAAGACGTGGGGATTTGGAGAATAGGATTATGGAGATACAGAGATTCAAAGATTATACATTTTGGGAGTATATGATAGATGTGAACTTTGGAAATGTAGGAATATACTGATTCAGAGATTCTGAAATCGAATTTAGGGATATAAGAACTTTCTAATCTTCCCTTTCAGCAATTCCGTCACCTAAGAACGTCGCAAACTTCGTTGAATTTTGCGAAGAATTCTTCACAACTTACCGAGCTAAAGGATAGCGCATTCCTGCTTTAAATTGTAAAGTGCGATAAAGAGTAGAACGACATGCAGTTTATCATGCATGTTCAAACATAGACTTGCGCAAACTGGTGTCGTACCGATAATGCAGATTACGACCGTCACTGTGATAGTGACCAAGACGAGTCTCGTTCTGAAGTTCTGCAACCACGCCCTTTGCTGTGCTTTCTTCGCGGTTGCCCTGAATTCGTTGCCAGCCATATTTAACCGATCGCTGGCTTCCTGAAGATCTTCTAGCCTCTCGCCACGTTCCATTACCTTCTGTACGTTCTCTCGCATCACGCCAGTGACCTCTTGAATTTGTAGCCGGACGCTTGAATAAAAAGTGACGCATTGTTTAAACACTTGGCGATAGAAGGACATTCCTCGATGATAAGGTGATTGTTTAGCAGAGAATATATCAGTGAAGCAAAGTACGAAAGCAAATGCGACTGGCATAAACGTGTACAGACATTTACCTGTCCATTTTTCCGTCCACCCTTGTTTCTCCCGAGGACGTGCTCGGTCGACTAAAAACATAGAAACCATATGGTAGAATTCATTAGAGACAAGAATATTGAATAAAGATTGTAGACTTACTTATAGACCATGTTTTCTTCTGCATCGCTCTCAGGTTCCAAAAGCAGTTCCTGAAACAATTTGAATCCAGTTTGAAATTCCCGCCATTCAACGGTATCTCTGCCAACGCGTCAGCTATGGCGTACGTGCCATAAGGAAAACGACTCACCTTTTCGTCTTTCGCAGCGGCTATAATATCCGCCTTGGACAAATCCCACTTACTGGTCGTTGACATGATCCCGGTTAATCAACCTGTTGCTTCTGTTTCGACGAATTGGCTGTTAATACCGCCACGCGACGGCCAGTTCTCGCGAACGTGTCTCGAACACGCTACTGGAACACTCGATTCGTAGCCATATTGCAGTGATTCTGCTGTTCCATCGACCCGAGCCAAGTTCGAAACTGGTTCTGAACTTGTAGACTGAACGGCAGATGGCGTGGATCGTGTTGACCGGCGTATTTGAAAACGGGATGCAACAGTTTTGCACCGGGACACACGTGCACTCTTCGCAAATTAATTGGGGAGAATTTAGTTTGCTCGGAGAGAACTTAGCTCTGCAAATTTTAGCATTTAACATCTTTGCGAACTGTTCTCGAAAATATTGTTAAGTACTCGATGTAATTTCATTGGGCGTGATTCAATTTTAAGATTCCTTCCGATTCAACTCAATTTAATTCGAAGCGATTCAAATGGCGTGTTCTGTGCCAAAACTGATCGTGTTTCAGGGGTGAATAAAATGAAAAAGCGTACAGACTTCTTATATTGCTTTTATTCGACGTAAACACCAAATGCTAAATTCTACTACAGATATCATCGAGTTACAACGATAGATAATAAAATAAGTTGATTGTCGTATGAACGTGCAAGGGGGAACTGGAAGTATCGTTAGATATGTCGAACAAACGTTAAACAATGCCATTCTCAAAGTTTCGCCGCCATTATGTTTAGCAACTAACTGGATAAGAATGTTTTGTCCGGCAGAATAAAAGGAGGGAAAAATGTTCACCCTTGCACGATTTTTCTCGCGGAATCGTTCTTTATACAGTAGAAAAACGTCAATCGCATAAACGACAAGTCGTGATAAAACGTGTCGGATGAACTTGTGTGTATATAAAAATAGACCAGCCTTTCGGGTTATTCGAAACTTCGGTATCCGCAACTTCGTAGGGTGATGAACAACATGAGAAATGATTTTTTCAAAACGTTTTCGACACACACGAATAGCTGTACATTACTCACGCGGAGTACGAAAACCAATTCTGTTAGTCTCTTGTTTCACACGCCAGCAAATTATACAGCGATATTTTAATTCTGAAGTACGCGAAATAACAACGTTACAAATAAACGTTATGGAACAAGTATAGTCTAACGATTACGATTAAATACGAACTTTCTACAAGTTTTATAAGCGGTTGCTCGATATGTGAAGCGCTTATCTAATTCAACAATCGTGTCGCTTTAACGATCGCTATCGTTATCGATAATCTCGTGGCCTCGATGAAAACAACGTCGATAATAACGATATAATAGGTCTACGTGCACATATACCGACGGAGAGGTCTCTCGTCTTGTACGTACGTGTTTAGGCCGTCCCTACTCGACTGAATTGCGTGCATCCTCACGATACCCATTTATCCGCGGCCGAAGCGTCGAAAATCAGACAAGAACGTGGAAGACAAACGAGAAAAGTTCGATTCAAAGAATCTCTTTCGAAGTATCGATTGCGGAGATAATGACTTTCGTTCTATGTACTTTTGTAATTAATCAATTTCGCATACGATCCTCGGAATAACCCAACGTTTCGATACAGACTTAATGGCTACGTTACATTATACACTTACACACGATATTGGATCGTTTATGGGCCGCGCTAAGCGATGGGGACGTCCAGCGTCGCTGCAGACTGGACGAGACCAGCGTCCAGTTGGCTCGCTCGTTAGCTCGACTTTCAAAGCGAAATATATTATGACGGATTCGCGTATTACCGCGAAAGGGAGCGCTTTGAAGAAATAATCATTCGCGTTGTTACTCCCACTCGGTTTAATTAATTAGTCCGAGGACCACCGTTTGGGAAAACGCTTTGAAAATCGAGCCAACCGAACGATCGAATTTGGCGCGAGCCTTGACATCAATTTCCGGAAGTAGCTGTCGTTTTTACGCCGATTAATACGAACCGTTTAATTGAAGGCTGCTATATCGCAATTATTGGAAAATTCTCTCCATCTCTTTAGTCTCTTTTTCATTGTCTGCCTGGACGTACGCTGTTATTTTAATCGATTTGACTCCAAAGTGATGAATTTCGGACGAGTATTATTTTTTGCGTTCTATTGTAGATTGTGGTAAAAGAGCATCAATATTTTGGACCAGACCTTGCATATAAATGAACGCTGCCACTTGAGAGCAAGAGACAAACGGCAACCATTAGATCCTAATAAATAATCGAATCGCGTTCGAAACAGCCGCCAAATTCTCCCGTGCTGTCCGCGCGATTAATTTGTCCTCGATTCTAATTTCGAGGTCTGGCGCGCGTCGAACTCCAATTGCGACGCATTCAAAATCAATTCTTCGGATTATTTGACTTCCAGTTTGTTCTTGAGATCATGAAAGAATTCCAGTGAACATGGGAATAAAATTTTGACTATTAAGAAAAAATATTTCTTGCACAAATTTCTGAAAGGGGCAAGATCGATCTCTTGATAACATTATAAGAAAATTTAATATTTGATAAAAAAGTTCTTAGAAGTAGCAGCCTCAAGGGCCATATAACGGGACTCAGCGTCGTCTCCAAAAATTAATTTTATTTTAAGCTAATCTTCCAAAGCGTCATAACAATTTATGCCGCAAGATATTAAACTTTGAAACGGTAATTTTTGCGATGCCTTCACGCGAATCACGAACCCTTGCAAATCGAAGCCATACACGCGTCAGAGTTCGTGTTTCTCGTTTTCTTCGATTGTAAGCGGATATTTACTTACCTAGCGGTTCGGAAGTTCGAGCAAATATTATTCGAAGGACAGGTGTGATCGGAAGGGTAAAAGCTACCCTGTTTGCGCGTCCATCCTCTTTCTGGGACACGCGTAGGCTCGAATTCGTTAGGCGGAAAGAACGGCGAGAAATCGATAAGAGATAAAACAGCGTGGTCAGAACGCGTCAACGAATACGGCAAAGACTATGCATCCATGCACGAGATTTTATTTTCCGGAAATATCGGTTCACGTCGCGAGTAACGATCCTTGAACGACGTTCCGATCGTAACCGAAAGCGTTAAACTCTCTACGACATCGTCCAACGATTTCAATAAAATTTCTGTAATTGAAAAGCATGAACATAAAACGGATCATGGGATGCTCAAACTGCGCGTTGACCATTACCTCCCGCGTTTACGAGAAACGTTCAGGAAGGATTTAACCCTTGGCTTTCGTTGACGATTTGAAATTTAAATTTCCCGTTGTTATAATTATATGTACTGCATTTTTATTACTGCGTCAATTAAAATGTTATGTGGAAACTGTCGGTTGGAAAAGAACGTTTGATGCATTAAACAGGGAAAAATGATAATTGTCTACAATTAGTGGACTTAGTAGTTGACGTGTTAACAAGTTCGCTACCGTTTGGAAGCTTGCCCATTGCTGTATTTTCAGCAATTTAACATGTGCGGTTTACACGTTTTACTCGTTTAATTTTAATGACGTGCTACAATTTCAATCCTGTTAGCGAAAGATCAAGTAGCGAACGCATTAGTCACATTTAGAGTACGTGAAGATTCTCGCAACTCTTGCTTTTACTATCGATCAAGCACATTCTGTTCAGTATTTCCCTGGTCAGATTCAAGCTGAGTGCGGTCTTGCTGCCGTGTAGTTTCGAGAGAAACTTCCCCTTGCTACCCTGTCGTTTCAGCTTCTTGTCGCGAGTCTCTCGAAGCCGTATCTGTTTGAGTACGCCCACGAGAAGCTCGTCCACGTTGTGTTGTATCCCGCTGGACGTTTCGATGAACTTGCATTCTCTCGACGTTGCCAGCTGCTTGCCCTCTTTGAAAGAATACGGAATTCGATCACCGGATTCCAACTCCTCAAAGGTCTCTCATCGAATTTCAAGTTCGCGCTAATAGTTCGGTCTTTGTGTCGCGAATTCAATTTCGGACTCGGTGTTCCGTGAAAAACGTTACAAAGATTACTCGATTGTCTCTTAAATCAATCGTAGTCTCTTGGAATAAATTTTGGGACAACTTTTTGAGTTTATACATTTTTAGACTCTCATTAATTTAAAAACTTACCGTTTGTGGAAATTGTGCGACTTCTCGCGAGGTCAGACTTGTTTCCTACAACGATCACGGATCGTTCTTGCGTGTAATGCTCTCTCCACAGGTAGTTCAGTATTTCCTCGGCAACCTGGAAGCTGGTGCGCGACACGATGGAATAAACGACGATGCAGGCGTGCGGCTCGTACGTGGACAAAGAATTTTCCACCTACGCAATGAAATTTTCGGAATACCTTCCCACATAGCGAACTCATCGAATTTTAAACGAAAATTCCGCGAAATTTAGTGCTGTTACACTTACACTCATTTCCACGTAGGGGTGATCGATAAACACCATTTCTGACTCTTCTGCGTCCAACAAGATGGAGACCGTCTTCTCGCCAAACTCGTCGTCTGCAAGACGTAATTTTCAGGTGAATTCACGCGGAAAAGCCCCGGAACGTTAAACAAGCGCTTCCGGTGGTTTCACCAGAGTTCAAGTGTTCTCGATGTTGCTCGAGAACGTTGCTAACGAAACACGATACCAGATTTTTGCTAAAGCCATTGTTCGTCGCGTGTTCGATACAAATTCAATGGTATTTTCAGAACAATATAATTGCTAAAGTTTAACGATCGCACGCTGTCGTGTTTCATTCATTAAATTCGATCGCCGCGTCCCGGATAGAAAGCGACAGCCAGCGATAACATTCAATGTCCAAGCAATAATATTGTTCCGCTCTCGTCAATACGGGGATCTGCTCGCAGTGCAGCGTCGTTAAACGGACGATTATGCGAGACAGAAGCGAGCGAAGTAAATGAATACCGTAATCGCTTCTGGCAAGCGTAGAACAATAATTGTCGTGTAATAAGCGCGACTGCTTCGACAAGTGGCTACACCCGAGGCAATCAACCGCGTTAACGATCAGCATTGAGCGAGCTACACGAAACCGCCATTATCGTTGGCCACCGGGAACTTAGGGTCCGAGAAATAAAATCTAGGAAAGCTTTTCCTGTCCTTGATTTTATTTTCAATCTTACGATTAACTTTAGGTACGAGACATGGTGATGAATTGCGGGAATACAGGGAATATAAGGAGTAGTATAAGGACGAGCAGTACTCGAGGAGTATGTGGACGTAAAGGGTTATGGATGTGGATTTTTGGAGTGTAGAGGTGAAAGATGTGGAGATTTTGAAATGTGGAGATTCTGGGATATGGGAATATGAGATGTAGGATTTTGGGGTGATGGGATTGGGGCGTGTAGGGATTCTGGGGTGTAGACTTGTGGGGCGGAGGAAGTTTGGAATGTGGGAGTTCGGTGATTTAGGAATTCTGGCATGTGGGAATTCTGAGATGTAGAGTTTGTGGAGCGTAGAAATTCTGGAATATGGGGATCCGGTGATTTAGGAATTCTGGGATGTAGACTTTGTGGAACGTAGGAATTCCAGAATATAGGGATCTAGTGATCTAGGGATTCGACGGTTTAGGTATCTGTAAATATAACACTCGGGGAGCCCCAGAATCTCAAGATAGAAATTTTGGGATGTGGAGATTCTTGTATCTAGAGATCCAGAAATCCAGAAATCCAGAAATTCAGAAATCCAGAAATCCAGAAATTCAGAAATCCAGAAATCTGAAAATTCCAAATACCTAAGAACCCAGATATCTAACACAAAAATCTGGAATCACAGAAACAGTAAATCTCCACATAGCACACGTGGCTATAGAATGCCACCCCGTCTATATTTGAAACGTTAAATAATGACATGTGATAATTAGCGCCAGCGTCAAAGGCAGCTTTTAAAATATTCGTGGCAGACACTCATTTCCGACGGTAATCAAAGCGAATCGTTCATTACTGGTCACGTATAGAATTGACGACAAGTAGAGTGGCAATCAGGCAACATTTCGAAAAGGAACGAAGGAAATCCCGCTCGTTCGTAACCTTTGCTGTGATTTCACGCGTGCGTTTATAATTAACGTTGCTCGCCTAACCGCGAACTCATCGGGTTCACCTAGATTTCTTTGCCTCCCGGAACTTTTCGAGCTACAAACGATGGAGCACGTCGATGGAAATGTTCAGGTTTACGCTGTAAATGAAAGGTTTGTTTGAACGTAAAAATATTTCATCAGACGTTGAAATTTTCTTTGCTGAAGTTACTCGAGTTCCTTTACGGACCGCTCTTGAGAAGAGAAATTGAAAATAAAGTTACGAGAGTTTGGTAATTGCATGGTTTTATATTCTGTTTGTGAAAATTTTGATACATGAAATAATGTCACAGTTTTTATGGTAATTTTTCAATTAAATTCGTGGAATTGGATGGTTTTGAAGAATGAATTCCAATGGTTAAACAATGATTCAAACGGTTTTGAAGATATTAAAGTTAGCGAAACGTTCACGAGAGAAAGGAAGTGGAATAAATCCTTTGCGACGTTTTTCTTCAGTAATTTCGTTCGGGACGTAAATGCAAACATGAATTCCAGCAACCAGTCACAGTTCGTGAATCCGCGAAACAGTGCCCCGTGGAAATGTAAAAGAAAATCGTAAAAGAACGAGCGGGGATAAAACCATCGTGCTGAAAAGTCCTTCACGACCAATATACGATGATAACAAAGTTAAACTCGGCCGAGAAAATGGTGGAGATAAAACAATTGAATTTCGTCTGATATTTATCGGGCAAAAAACTTTTATCAAGAAATCGAAGGAAAATAATACTTCAGTTTAAGGAATCCGCTGAAAATTCTTTTATAAAATTCTAAAGTTTAAACGGGAACTTGGTTCTGGCGTTTTAATTGCGTTCAAGAGATCTCTTTCCTTAAGGACACGAAGGAACAAGTGGAAGTAGAACTCAAAGGAGGTTTCTTTCTGTATTATTTTACGTTATGGCAGTCGATCGAATGGTAGATTGTTATATTGGTATTTTTATAAAAATTTGTAGGAGGCTGGTGACATTGGTATCAGGTCTTGATATGTCACATGTACTTTCGCATACTCTTAGCTTTTGGATTATTTAGTAATTTGACAATTTGGAGAATTTAGCTGTGGGGAGTTAAGCTTTGATGAGTTTAGCGTTGAGGAGTTAAGCTTTGATGAGTTAAGCGTTGAGAAGTTAAGCGTTGAGGAGTTAAGCTTTGAAGAGTTAAGCGTTGAGGAGTTATACGTTGAGGAGTTAAGCTTTGATCATTTAGGCGTTGAGGAGTTAAGCTTTGATGAGTTAAGCGTTGAGGAGTTAAGCTTTGATGAGTTATACGTTGAGAAGTTAAGCTTTGATCATTTAGGCGTTGAGGAGTTAAGCTTTGATGAGTTAAGCGTTAAGGAGTTAAACTTTGATGAGTTAAGCTTTGATGAGCTAAGCGTTGAGGAGTTAAGCTTCGATGAGTTAAGCGTTGAGGAGTTAAGCTTTGATAGAAGAGTTAAGTACAGTATAAGGATTTGGAAACATTTGAATTCGAATATTTCAGAATTCGAGACCCCAAATATAGGAATATGGAAATGATCGAGTTAAGATCAAAATGGTTACCTAAACTGGCGTCATAGGTGTTCATATATTCGCTGGTCATGAACTGCGAAACAAGCGCAGTTTTACCAACTCCAGAATCACCTAGTAATACTACTCTGTACTTCGGAATGTCCTCCATGTCTTCGCTTTCTGTGCTGTCTGCTCCGACACCCTGACCACTGCAACATGAGCCCTCGAACGGTGACCTTTCGCCCGAGACGTTGCTGTTCCTGCAATACAAAGTTTAGCTTGAAACTTTTTACATAATACAAGGTTAATTTATCGCGTTGACCATAGTGATCATAAAGTTGAGTACCAGATTAAAAGATAAGATTGAAAGATTAAGAGTACAAATGTCAGTTCTCCCTGTGGTCAATGCTAATTCAGGTATCTGATGTACGTTTTTCACTGCAGTCAATGTGTTAATTTAAATTATCGGATTACAGTATAAAATTTGTATAACATTGATAACAATCTTTATTATATAAATGATTCCGAAAGGAATTGTCATATCTTCATAGCAATTATTTTTAATATTTTCCCTCGGTACGTGTGTCGTTCGCAAAACTGGGTCGTATTTCTATTTTAATCACATCGGAAGAGAACAACGAAACAGCCGGGAAAATCAAATTCGCGAGACCGAGGAATATCTCGTCCTTTCAGTATTCGACGAATCGGAAAATAATTCCAACGGAAAATTCTAATGAACTCGTATCGAGTCCCTTTGTCGAAAATCGTTCGGCTTAAACCTTCTCGAGTCATTTGCGATCGAAAAATCGAATCGCGAGGTTAATGGGCCAAGAGCGTGTACCATCGAATCTTAGAGCAACGGCAGTTCATTCGTGAGATCAAACCCCTCGATCGAATTTCCATCAAATCAACGGGGACGTTACACGATACATTACGCAAATCTGGACAATTTTTCTCGTTTCTCCTAAATGGGGAATTGAAATTTCGATAGCAGAAGTCTCGCTTTGTTCCACTGATGAGAGCATTGTTGAGTCAATTTAATAGTGAACAGTTTACAATGAATTGTGCTCATAGTTTGGCACTAGCCCAAATAATGTAACTACCCGAATTTCAAGTGAAGAGGAGGTATTTATAAATAAGGAATAAATTAGTTACTCGAATATCTTGGGAAATAATTCTAGAATATAACGGATGACATTTGGAGATATTTTATTTTGCATGAAATTCTTATTCCAAGAAGGATTTGGAAGTAAAAATTCCTGGATTTTTAAACAAATTTGTTTCGTTGTGAAACTTGTTTCGAAATTGCAATATTTTAACCCCTTGCTATGGTGACGCACTTTTGGACAATCGTGACGCACTCTTGGACACTCATGACGCATTCTTGGACAATCGTGACGCACTCGTGGACAATCATGACGCACTTTTGGACAATCGTGACGCACTTTTGGACTATCGTGACGCACTTTTAGACAATCGTGACGCACTTGTGGACAATCATGACGCACTCGTGGATAATCGTGACACACTCATGACTCACTTGTGGGTAATCGTGACACACTCATGACGCACTCTTACTTCATCGTCAATTTTACCAAAATTTTGAATAAGCTTGGATTTGAACTTCAAGTCCAATTATTTGCATAGTCGATCAATACCAAATTGCCATAAAATTACAACATTTTTTGTCTGTTTTATTATTGTACCCATTAGTTCTGACTAACGCACCTGAATTATAATGCAAGGTTAAATAACTCTCAGATCTGGAGTTATAACCCTTTCCCTGAATTGTGTAGTTTAAATAATAGTGCCTTTGTGTATGGAATTAAATTCCACAGACGACAGGACTGGAAGCAGTAAAATTTCTTTCCACGAGATTTGCCCCCACGAATTTTTCTTGTTCATCGAACACCGATTCCGACACCAATCGTATCTTGCTAGAGGTCTATCGATCGCCTGCGGCTAGACTAATCAAATTTACGCGCATGGTGTCGGACACTAGGGAGAACACGCGTGGAGAAAAACTAGGGACGCTGGATTAATGTGGGTCCGGTAGAAAAGCTACCTAAGCCACTGGCTGCCGTGATACGACAAAAAGGGAACAATGTAAAACGAGAAAGCTTCTTTTTTCAGGACCGAGTACCAGATTTACGGACATTCGGGGGCATTTACGTCATGGGACATTCGAAAGAGTCGAAGATTAGGGTTTATTGTGAAACGTTTATTGACAGTATGAAAATTGTGAAGTATGAAAATTTGAAAGAAGATGAAAAATTATAATTTTATATAATGAGTTAATACTAGCTTGTCATTAAGTTAATTTAGAATATGAAGTTCATTCTACCTAAATAATTGCATACTGTAACTTTGTAGGATTATTTTAAGATGTCTGACAATTGCATAAAATTCGATTCCTTGTACAATGCAGTTTAATGAAGAACTTCAGACTACCTGCAGATCTTAATGACAGTCACATTCAGAATTGCATGATAATTGCATAATGTAACATAACTATTTCATGGTGCTCAGCAGGTGGATTAAAACTGATTGCAAACTTCGAAACTCTTTCCTTAACCCTAGCGTTCATACATGAAGACTATATTCATGCTTTGTAGTCTTCAGGTCCCCAGTCCGATAATTTGCAGTGAATATTTCAATGAAAGGAAGTATTTGGCAATGGCGAAGCAGTAAACAACTTCTTTTTGCGATTTTGAAGAAACGTTCCGTTTTCGTCGAGTCATAGTGATCACGTTGCGTTCTAGCCAAGAACAATGCTTGGTGCATTCCTCTGGCTTGGCACGTGTGTAACCGAAGCACGAAGATGGCGCTGAAGATGCAGAGTTATATATAAACGAGGGGATCTTGGTAAGAAAACGAAAAACCGGTGCAAATATTTACACCGTCTATTTGGAGAGGCGACGGAACGCATCGACCGGCTTGCTGATCTACCAACGATACGACGTAATAATTCGCGTAATAACCTGGGGATCCAGGTGCCGACCAAACAGCTGAACTTCTTTTTCTATCCTCGGAAACCGTGTTTCTTATTGTCGCTCACAATGGAAGCCATATTTCTTAACGATCGAGCTTCCAACGACAAAGGAGAACAATCCCGTCTTTTCCACATCTATTCTTCCTTCAACGTCGCTTTTTAACGAAAATACACAGTCGAATACTGCTTTTGCGGAAGATTAAATGTTTGCGGTGAAGACTATGTACTTTGCGCGGATTTTGTCGATCCACTTACAAATCTCTGCATTTGCAAATTTATTGATGACTAGGTTCTCAAAATCTAGGTTCTCAAATGTCTACTTGTCAAGTAGACATTTTTCTGGATTCTACAAATTCTCATATCTTTTAAATCAACAATTTTTCAAGTCTCTAAATTCTATAATTCACAAATTTCCAAATTAGTAAATCTACAAATTCTCAAGTACCCAAATTGCCAGATCCTTAAATTTTTTAATTCATAAACTCTCATATTACTGAATTCACAAATCTCCGAACTCTTATGTTCCAAAATTCTATAATCCTCAAGGAGTACTCTACAGGAGTATTACAATCCTCAAGGAGTACTCTAGGAGTATTTTACAATCTTTGAGGATTTTAGAATACTACTATAATACTATAATACTACAATTCCCAAAGTCTCAAATCTGAAATTTCTCAAATCCCCGAATTCTGAAATCCTCAAATTCTACGATTCCTTAATTCTGAAATCCCCAAATTCTATGATCCTCGAATTTCCAAATTCCCAAATTCTCAAATTGTCGAATTCACAAACACTCTAATTCTCAAATCCCCCAAATTCTACAATCCCCTTTACCATTCCTCAATTTTTCATATCCCAAAATTCTACTATCCCCGAATTTTCAAATCCCCTAATTCTGAATCCTCCAAATTTTCAAATTCCCAAATTCTGAATCCCCCAAATTTTCAAATTCCCAAATTCTCAAACACCCTAATTCTCAAATCCCCCAAATTCTACAATCCCCAAATTTTCCAACCCCCAATTTTTCACATCCCCGAATTCTCAAATTCCCAAATTCTCAAATCCCCTAAATTCTACAATCCCCAAATTTTCCAACCCCCAATTTCTCACATCCCCAAATTCTCAAATCCCCGAAATTCTACAATCCCTAAATTTTCCAACCCCCAATTTCTCACATCCCCGAATTCTCAAATCCCCAAATTCTCAAATCCCCTAAATTCTACAATCCCCAAATTTTCCAACCCCCAGTTTCTCACATCCCCGAATTCTGAAATCCCCAAATTCTACAATCCCCAAAATTTCGATCCCCCAAATTCTACTATCCCCAAATTCTCAAACCCCCAAATTCCCGACTCCCACTTCCCAAATTTCACAGCTCACCCTCCAAAAGCGAAAGATGCACACAATTCACTCTTCAGCTCAGTTCTTTAGAAAAGTGCCCAAGCTCCTCAACCTCCATACAAATCCTCTTTCGATTCTTTCCTACCTCTTCAGCTTCCGTTTTTCGACTCGTCGAACGATTTTTACGTCAAACTTTTACGACGCATAAATTCAGAATCGCTAAAAAAATTGATACATAGGCGTCGATAAACCAGCGAGAACCTTCCACAAGACCCAGAACGTCTCTCTACGAGATATTTCTCTGAAGTCATTTCCGGCAGACGCGTTTTTGGTGAGCCATAAAGTAGGGTCTCTATTTTTGGGAACATGGAGTTTTAAAGCACCATGGAAATGTAACATCGATACATTTTCCTCGTTTTGATGGAATAAAAAATATAGTCATTCGCATTACGTAAATCGGAAAACACATTGCAGCTGACCACTCAAAGGATTAACACGTGCGCGTATTTTCATAAAAATGCAAATGCGTTTTTTGTCGGATATTCGAAAATAAAGAGATATTTTGTAAAAAAGCGGAAATATCTGAAATTAATTTTTTGTACCGTTAATACTTTTTGACGTTTACCTTTTCGAGAATCGGATTTGCATAAAACAACTTGCATCGAGCGCAGAGATCACCGTAAAATCTCTGCAGCCAGTAAATTTTATTCGAAAATAACGAACCGAGTCAAAAGTGACCAATCATAAAATACATGCCTTAGTTTTAATAAATTTTCCCCGGAAAATGTCCTTGACCGAAGAAATAGCGTGACGTTGTTTCTATAAGAAACGAAAGCGGTATTTTTCGAAGGACCTGTCTGGCAGTGTTCTATCCTGCGGACGTCATAGCAATAATTAAAGATTCCTGTCAAAATTTCCGGTAAATTA